ATTTTTTAAATTTTGTAACTAAAAGACATTGTATTTAATTATTTATATTAATAAAAGCTGAATTTATGTATTACAATTGAAGTTGCTACTAATATACTATAACTATAATATTCTTAGTATATATGGGAGTTGGGACAATGTGGTGCATGGATGTGGGCCCCACGTAACCTTAACGTTGCTTGCTATTGTGTCATTGAATGTTGAACTAATTTTTGATGTCTACCTCTCATCCAAATTTGCATCTGAAAGGTGCCATAAGAACCATACTCCTCGGTCACTTAGACACCACATGGATGACATATCAATTTTACCACAGAGTGGTTTTTGCGGCACAAGGGTGAACCTCGGCAGGAACCACAGGTTGGGGGCGGTGTGCTGCAATGCTAAGGTGAATTGTGGTAGGAACCGCACTTACATCTTCAAGTCTTACCAACAAATTTGATGAATCCATCCTAAGTGGAATATTTAATTTTACTTTTATTTAATTTTTATTTATACTTTTTGTATACATTTCAGCTAATCATCACCAACATTTTTAAAAAGGTCAAATCCATATAGAAGTTGATGAGTTGTCTTCGTCGATAAATCTTAGCGATATTTACATTTTTTTCACTTGTATTTCAGCTTCCGATATTGATCCGCAATTTGTATTTTCTTGATCCTTAATTTGAATTGAATTCTATCTGATTTATAAGGTTATTACTTTCACACATGCAAACTTAGACACGCTAGATATAGTTTGTGTTCCGTGATTGACATTTTACATGGGCTCTGGACAAATTGACATGAGTCATTAGGATGATGTGGTTTATCATTTATTCTACTTTCACGCATGCAAATAAAACAAAATAAAAATAAAAATAAAATATAACTTCATATTTTAAAAATATTAACATTAAACAAATAGATCATGTTCACATCATGTCAGCACCGACATAATGGAACAAATTTGCTACTTAAAATGTGAAGGTGGATGCCATCTAAGCATTTAAACAGCTAAACATACAATAGTAGTAGCCTAGTAGGTCACTTTGGTAACATTCAAAAGATATTTGATGTTTAATGACCTATCAGACATAATTAATGATGCTCCTGCTTACACGCAACCGTACTGTCGAATATACAACCTTTCTACAAAGATCGCATTTGAGTTGTGAAACTTTTATGTTAAAAACACTCTTGTTTTTATTTGTTGATAAACTTTCCTAACTATTGCACTATTTTATTATAATTTTCTTTTCAATTCTTCCACCTACTCAACTAATAGTATCAACAAATCTCAAATTTTATGTTATCATTTATCAAAAACTCAACCAAACATATAATACTACTTTTTTTTTCCATTTAAGTGAATCACTTTTATATATATATATATATATATATATTATATATATATATATATATATATATATTATATATATATATATATATATATATATATATATATATTTTCCATTTAAGTGAATCACTTATATTATATATATATATTATATAATATATATATATATATATCATTTATCAAAAACTCAACCAAACATATAATACTACTTTTTTTCCATTTAAGTGAATCACTTATATATATATATATATATATATATATATATATATATATATATATATATATAATTATATATATATATATATATATATATATATATATATATATCAAAACTCAACCAAACATATAATACTACTTTTTTTTTTTCCATTTAAGTGAATCACTTTTATATATATATATATATATATATTATATATATATATATTATATATATATATATATATATATAGGGTTAGGTTCATGTGAGATAGCCTAATTTTGTGAGACCGTGAGACGCATTTTATTATTTATTTTTTTATTTTTTTTTAATTTTTTTTAGTTAATTCAAGTTCCGAAAATAATATTTAAAAAAAGAATTTTTTTGATTTTTCCATTTATTTTTCATTTTAAAATTATTTTTAGAATATGTACAATGTAATATTCTATTTAGAATATTTCACGTATTTTTCAAAAAAAATAGAATTTTTTTTATTTTTTTTTTATTTTTTTAGTTAATTCAAGTTCCGAAAATAATATTTAAAAAAAGAATTTTTAGATTTTTCCATTTATTTTGCATTTTAAAATTATTTTTTAGAATATGTCAGTGTAATATTCTATTTAGAATATTTCACGTATTTTAAAAAACAAAAACGGGATTTTATTTTTATTTTTATTTTATTTTATTTTATTTTTATTTTTATTTTTTTTAGTTAATTCAAGTTTCGAAAATAATATTTAAAAAAAGAATTTTTGGATTTTTCCATTTATTTTGCATTTCAAAATTATTTTTAGATTTGGTCTCACGGTCTCACAAAATTAGAATGGTCTCAAATGAACCTGAACCTATATATATATATATATATATATATATAATATATATATATATATATATATATATATATATATATATATATATATATATATAAGATAATCTTAAAAAACAATAAAAAAAATTTGACTTACAATAAATATATTTCATAGATTAAACTATTTTAAAACAAAAACATGTAAAGGATAGGCAAAAGTTAGTACTTAGTAATAAGTTAATAACTAGGGTAAATTACCCCAATCGTCCCTCGTGTATATGCCAAAAAGCGTGTTTAGTCCCTATTTTAAAAAATTAACTCGGACCGTCCCTTGTTTTGTTTTTTCTTGCTTGCTTAGTCCCTCTGCACATAAAAAGACCATTTTACCCTTATTTATTTATTTTTTGATTTATTTTCTATTTACTTGTTATTTATTAATTATATATTGATAAAAGCGTGTTATTTATTAATTACTTGTTATTTATTAATTACTTGTTATTTATTAACAAGGGCAATAGCTCGTCTTTACCATCCCCCCCCCTCTTTCTTCTTCAGTACATCTGACCTACCGTTACCACCCACATCGGCCGACCCCAATACTCCGATGACACCAATACAACTCCGGCCACTCTAACACACCTCTGACGACGCCATCAAACCCTCACTCATCACACCCTACCCACCTCTCCCCATTCCTTTTCCCTTTTTCCTTCTGCCCTCCATGAAAACAACCATGCTCTAATTCCGAAAACTGCCTATAATCAACACTAAACCAAATCAAATCTGAAAAGAAGAAACTTGAAACCTGGAAAACCATAAATCTAAAAATCGAACCACAAATCGAGCAACGATTATGTATAAATTGAGCAGATTTGTGAGTGAGAATGTGAGAGAGTGGGCTGGAGACGGTGATGGATGAAGAGCGAAGGTTCGCCAGAAGGAGTAGCCATCGACATCAGGTTCAAATGTGGTGATGGCGAAGTTCAGCAGCGCAAATAACCATCATTATGAGATAGAAACCCTCACCTGAAACCTGTAGAAGCAGTCAATGGCTTGCGGGGAGGATGGTGGTGGATTGGAGGCAAAGACTTTCGGTGGCCATATTTTGGCATCAAGGGAGAGGTGAGAAGGTGGAGAAACGAGAAGAGAGGAGTTAGGGTAGTTCTACGAGTTCCTGGTAAATAGGTGGGGTTAGGTAGAGTTTATATCTTTAATTGTTTAAAAGTTATAAATAAATATGAAAGTAAGGGTTAGAATTTATTTTCCCTTTTTTTATAAATTCAAAATGAACTAGTAAGGGTAATATAGTCTTTTTATGTATGGTAAAGGATTAATTATGTATATTTAAACTAAATAGGGATGAAGCGTGCAAGTTTAAACCAAATGAGGGATGGTCCGAGTTAATTTTTGAAAATAGGGACTAAACGTGCATTTTGACACCTGCACGAGGGACGATTCGTGTAATTTACCCTAATAACTAACAAGTGGGGGAATGGGTCATGGTTGTGATTAAAAAAGGTTGTCAGCCGTTGGGTGGCTTTGAGATTCCTTCTTTCACGTTTCAGTTGACTTCAACTTTGAGATTCCTTCTTTCACCACCCTTTGAGTTTGTGATAAACCAGTTGGTCAAACTTATAGATTATCAAAATATTCAACAAATTGGGTTCTGAAAAGTAAATATGATGAAGGCATACCATATGTTTTACTTCATGATTCCTTCTTACCTACCATCCTCTGTGATTAATTAGTGTATGGTATTACAGAGGTTAATGACATATTTGTACAACAAACTCATAAATTTTATCAAACATTCAACGGATTGAGTTCATCTTTTCAATAAGGGGATTTAACACTTTCTCTTCATAAATGGATGCAATCCATCTCTAGAACAATACTACTTTCATGAATCAAACCTAGTTATTCTTGATATTTCCTCTGTTAACTGAAGATTTGACTTTTGAGTAGAAGGTTAGATGAACTTAAGACATTCATGAAATATTAAAAAAATAAAATTATAGACGCAGTCACTGTCATTATGCCAATACTATGTTTGGTTGACTTCAACTTCATCATGATTCCTTCTTCCTCCTCTCCCTTATCAACCAATGGTTCATGATTCCAAACAAATCTCAAACCCCATATCATCTTCTTAATCAAGAACCTATATAAGGATGTTCAGTTCTTAATAAAGAACCTGCAAAAGAGTTTTCAAAAAGAGTTATTTTAGCTCACATTTCACAAGAATCCTGAGAAAAGTTGCTTTTTTTTTATTAAAATTCCTTCCATGAAGAGTGTTTTTTTTGTTGGTGCTTTTCTTGATTTTGTGCATTACGTTCGTAAATGCACGCCACCGATCCGCCAAGGCCTTCGAATATGATAGAATCGATGAGGTCAAGAGGGAATGCTCTTCAATCTTGCCTCCCGATTTCGATCATAAACGTTACGGAAATCAATTGTACAGACTTCCAGAAAAATTGTCGTTCGTTAATGGAGATTGGTGGCAGGATTTGGATAAGGCTCCACTTATTCCATATGATGACAAACCAAATGGCTTTTTTGGATCACAGTTCGCCATTCAACTTGATTTCTTTCTGGATTACTGACGTGGACGATGCTCATCGGTCCAACAATTCAGTTAACATCAATGGCGTTTTGCAGCTGAGCGTAATGACGGGGGAATTATTCACTTCAAAACCCTATGAGCGATATCCGATGTTTAACATGTATCCGGGGAATTCAGAGTTACGAATGTCGTTCCAAGGTATTGTAACCTATACAGAAGAGAACAATGGTGAGATTGTAATGTGTTTACTTGGAAACGCAGTGTTACCTTCTCGTGGCCCCGACCCAAATAACCCATGGAGATGGGTTAAAGAACCCGGGTACATAAACCAGCCACCACACATCCACGATGACCGAATTTTGATGCTTGTTCATTACCCGGATACGTTTACAGTGAAGAAAAGAGGCATCTATGGTAGCTTGAAAAGTTTAAACCCAAAATCCAGCCAAAAGTACTTTGAAGAAATACACATTTCTGCTTCGTTAAGTCGTTCTGCAAACTACGAGTTTAGTTCTGAAAAGCTTGTATCCAACTTCAAAGCGTGTGAAACCAGTTTCGCAGATAAAGATCTTGGTACCTTGAAAGGGGCTAACATTTGTTGTAAACTTGAGCATTTTTTAAGGGAAGATCCTCTGACCGTTGTGCCGAATTGGAGATGTAACGGGACCGAAGACTTTTGCAGCAAGTTGGGTCCGTTTGAGTCGGATGCAAGCATAAAAGAGACTAATGGAAGCTTTAAAGGCGTAGCACTTCATCTTCAAGATATTCGATGTGAAAAACCCTGTTCGGAGACAGAAAGTAAACATGGTGGATCTGTGAAGGTTGCTATGGTTATTAGAGTGGGTCCGCCTTCAGATGATATTTATTATACTACAAGACAGAGAACTGGGGTGAAGAAGATGACGCTTTTAGCTGAAGGAGTGTGGGATCCGTCGAGTGGACAGCTTTGCATGGTTGGTTGTCGTGGAGGTGGAAATAAAGAAGGAGATGGTTGTGATTCTCGTATCTGTTTATACACTCCGCTCATGTTTTCCATCAAACAAAGAAGCGTCATTCTCGGAAGCATTTCGAGTATTGAAGAGAGTAATATGTCTTATTTTCCTTTATCGTTTAAGAAACGAGTGGATTACGCACAAGAGCTATCATTTAATCAGTACTATTACTACTCCAAGATCGAATTAGCACAAGCTGTTGTTGAAAAACACGAGCGTTACAGCTTCGAAACCGTGATCAAGAAGAGGTTCTTAAGTTTCCCAACAGTCAAACTTCCAGAATCTCTTGATTCTTTTCTAAATGGCCTGTCTCTTCTAAAAAAAGATCTCACCTTTTACCACCCAGCGTCCACGCAAGGTCGTTCTCGCTCACAGCCCTATGTGGAAATAGAGATTCTATCGCTTGGGCCTTTGTTCGGAAAGTACTGGACTCTGCAAAATGATTCAATCATAAGAGAAGACACTCCTTTGAATGTATCAGCTCAGCTTAGTGTCACTGGAGCCAACTATGGTAACTTTTCTGAAGTTTTCGTAGAAGGTTTGTATCATCCAATTGTCGGGAAAATGTATCTTGTTGGTTGCAGGGATGTAAGAGCCTATTCCAAGCTTTTATACGAAAGTACTACAGATCTTAAAGACGGGTTTGACTGTTTGATAGAAGTCGTGGTGTCGTATCCTCCTACCACAAACCACTGGCTTGTGAACCCAACTCCTAGGGTTTCGATAACAAGTCAAAGGAACAATCTCGATCCATTGTTTTTCACACCCATCAATCTTCAAACCGTCCAACTAACGTATCAGGATCAACGTGAAGACATTGGTAGTTCCAATCGAGGTGGCGATGGTACCTTACAGGTTCTTACGCCTTTAATAGGAATCTGTTGCATTTTGAGCCAGCTTTTTTACATTAAACAGAACTTGGACTCCGTTCATTACGTTTCGCTTGTGATGATTGCCATACAAGCACTTGGGTACGGCTTTCCACTAGTTACAGGAGTCGAATCGCTTGTTGATTTGAATGAATCGCTTCTTGATTTGAATGAAAGCTCTTCTACTTATATGATGAATCAAAGAATTCAGGTTATAGATTACATGTTCAAGAAGATTCTTGTACTGATTTCATTCTTATTAACACTCGGACTCTACCAAAAAGTTTGGAGATCCCGGATCCGATCACTTAGCCATCATATGCCATCCGACCGTCCAATTCTCCTCATTACAATCTTTATCCACGTGTTTGGGTTTGGGTGGTTTCTCATCGTACAAAAGCTACAATCATGGCTGGTCGGACTCGATGTGTACTTAGGGCTGGTACAAGATTTATTTTTGCTTCCTCAAGTTATTGGGAACTTGATATGGGCAGATCGATTGCAAACCACTGCGGAAATCATACTTTCTTGGGTTAACGGTGATTCGACTCCTCCCTCATGTTTATGCTTACAGATCATTGACAAATTTATATCATTCTTCTGCTAAGTTTTCGGAGTTCGTGTCAAGATATCCCAAATTCCACTCGAAGCAAGGGGCTATTGGAATACCTGCAATTACTATTTTTCTTGTGATTGTTGTATATATTCAACAGACATGGAGTTACGAGAAACTAGGTAACACATTCACTTTGTATAGGTTTAGGCTTTTTCCGCATCGGTCCATGGTGTATGAACGGTTGTTACCCGGTGGAAGTGGAGGCGGGACCAAATTCCGGTTTCAATGGGCTGATGAAGACGTTGCAACGACGAAGAGGGTGGAAGTAGAATCTACGTATCTAGTATCTAGAAACTCATTTTGTTTTTCGTATTTTCAGTATCTTTTAATAATGATTATTATTTGTTGGGAGAATTTCATATATGCCCTTCTTAAACGTCAAAATATCATATTTGTTCAGCTTAATTTCTTAATATCATATTTACCCTTCATAAACCTTCAAAATATCATATTTACCCAAATCCCTTTTTATAATGTTTTTAATATTTTATAATCATTTTTTATAACTTAAAATTACTATAATAATTAAAAAATTTAACAATATTATCCTTAGTTTTATGATAATGGAATGTGAACTTTTAAATTGTTAGAATGTCGTCCTCTTGACACACAAAAATATTCATCTTCAACCCTCTTTATGGAATGTATATTTTAATTGTTTAGTTTTTTTGTTGATTATGTTGTAGATGAAGGATATTTTAGATATTACCATTGATATTTTGATGTTTAAAAAGTGCATATACGATATTTTGATATTTAAGAAGGACATATATGATATTATGATGTTTAAAAAGGACATATATGATATTTTGAAATTTTATGAATGGTAAATATGATATTTAGAAATTTTATAAAGGGTAAATATGATATTTAGAAATTAAGTTGGGTAAATATGATATTTTGATGTTTAAAAGGGCATATATGAAATTCTCCCTTATTTGTTTTAGTATGATATATAAACTAGAGTAAATTATTGAAATCGTCCCCGGGGTTTGGTTAAAATTGTACGTCTGATCCATAACTTTTTTTTGCACTCGGATCATCCTTGTGGTTTGATTTTGTTGCATTTTTCGTCTCTATGGTTTGGTAAAAAATACATGTTTGGTCCCTAACTTTATGTATGTAAGGGATAAAAAATACAACAAAATCAAACCATAGGGACGGAAAATGCAACAAAATCAAACCACAAGAACGATCCGAATGCAAAAAAAAAAAAAAAAAAAAAAAGTTAAAGATAAAACGTACAAATTTGACCAAACCATATAAACGATTTCAGTAATTTAATTTATTAAGTATTACATAATAAAGATTCTCTTTTTAGTTCTTAACTTCTTAAAAGACGACTTTATGTCAATATTGGATTGAATTCTTTTTTTTTTTCACATTTATTTTCATAGCTTATAATAGAGGTTGTCTTTTTGCTTCATATTTATTCGAAACCTATGTGACTTATTAATTTCCAACTAGTTGACTATCACTAATTTAACTTTTTACATTAAATTCATTTGTAATTTTAAATTTAGTCCCCCTTTATCAATTTTCAAATAAAATATATTTAAATTATTGATTTCTAACACATTGATTTGCAACATATAAACTTTGCATATTCCAACTAATTAACCATCATTAATTTGATTTTTTTATTCTAAAACTCATTTATTAATTTCAAACTTACACAACTTACTAATTTCTTACTAACTAATTATTTGTAATTTGTCTATTATTAATTAAACTTATTCGTAATTTTAAATTTAATGTTAACTTTTTAATTTTCATAAAATATACTTAAGTTATTAATTTCTTACAATATATTGATTTGAAACCTACACAACTCTTCAACTATCAATATAAACTATTCTTAAACATTATTGATTTATATCAAATAAACTTAAAAAAATAAAATTCAAAGATTCCACAAAAAAATATAAAATATACTTAAACATTATTGCTTTATATCAAATGTTGCCGTTAAAAAAAAACGAAATGTCAAATTAATTAAGAAGTTAAAAACAAAAATGTTCCAAAGTGCTAGTTTTTTTGAATTAAATAACGATATCATTAGTTAAAAAATAATAATTAAAACAACATTAGGTTATTTTGAAAACAACGTTGAGATTTGAAAAGATAATAATAAACCTAACCAAAAAATGGTCAAATAATTTCTTAAATCAATTAGCGATAACAATAGATAAAAATAATATCGATTCATAACATATATTTATTTTTATTTACGCACAATCGATAGATATATACTATCGAGATTATAAGAGTATAAATGATCCATCTATACTAATTAACTTTAATAATAACTAGGTGAGGAGCCCTAATTTGCGAGGATGGATTTAGACAGCTCCGATCATTTTGACCACTTCATACTTGTTATCGATACAAAGGATCACATAATAATTTGTTCTGTCTTATGTAGATATTCTTGCATGGACAATTTGTTTGCTGAACGTGATGGTTTCATTATGAAATTTGTACAAAATATTAATATGGACTTACATATTGCTATTATCGGGGAAAAAAATATGACTACGTTGTTATTATGGGTTTACATATTACTATTAGCCGTGAAAAATGTAAATATGTTGCTACTATGAATTAAAATAGTCTTAAGTTTACGGGAAAAAATGCTACTAAATTTGGAACTTGGGTCGAAAGTTCAACACAACAAAATTTATTAAAATTTTGAATAACATGATAAATATGATACATCACCTTCTCCGTATAAGAGCTAACCAACACAAAACTGATTCAAAATTTGATGGATTTTCTTCTATTCCTGGACCATTTGCATGGATCTTTTGTAGTCTAGTTTTGGTATTTCTATTTCCATTTCCATTTCAGAAGCTCTAGAGTATCCTTTTTGCTGACAAAAGTTATGAAATGTTTAAATGTAAGAAGTAGTATTGTTTATATGATAATTATAATATTAAATTGATAAGATAAAAATAATTGATACTAACCTGAAGATCATTAATCCGGTTGTTCATTGATAATTGGATCGAAAAGTGATGAATGCATTAGGCTCTGAGTGTTCATCTATTAATGTGTATTTTTGAAAAAAATGAATTTTATTAATATAATAACAGTGTGCAAGGGCAATATAGTCTTAAAACTGTAAATAAATTAATCTTATTGATATAAAAAGTGTGCAGGGACAATATGGTCCAAAAAATACAAATATTTATTTTCTTAATATTAAAACAGTGTGGAGGGGCGATATCGTCCAAAACCTATAAATATTGAATGCCCTATGGGCTATCTATCGTGTATTTTGGCATATCTATAGAGCAACATGGCTACCAATTTTTATAAAATTGCAAGATTAGGACAGGTAATATGAAAAACAAACAACCAAAAAGCTTAAAAAAAAAAAAAGAGAAAATGACAAAAATAGCCAATTACACTAATTGCATTACAAAAATAGCCAAAAAAAATCGGGATTACAAAAATAGCCACCCATTTCGCAGGTGAGAAGGCCCCATCTGCGAAATGGGCATCTCATCTGCGAATGTACAAGTGCCTGAAGCACAGTTGTGCTTCAGGCACTTGTACATTCGCAGGTGAGAATTTTTTTTTTTTTTTTAATATTTTTCGGTATAAATAGGGGTAATTTCGCAGATGGAATAGGTCCCATCTGCGAAATCCTCTGATCCTATCTGCGAAATGATGATTTTTTTTTTTTTTTTTTTTTTTTTTTTTTTTTTTTTTTTTTTAAGGTTGACTACGAAATGAATTGGTTTGACTGCGAAATGGGCTTTGCTATATAAAAATTTTTGTAGAAAAAATATCATTTTGGTTGTTATTTGGTTTGTGATATACTCTCTATCTCTACAATTTGCTCAAAAAATGATTGAATATTTGGTTTGTCTTGTAACCGGTGGGAGATGGCAAGTTAATGGAACTAATCTGGAATACATATGTCCACAGGGAGGTATTTCTGAATTTGCTTTGATATTTTCTGAGTATATTAGTTATAGTGATTTTGTATCTATGGTAAGAAGCAAAATTGGTTTGTTAGACAAATATAGAATTAGTCTTCGTTTCCACCATCCTGAATTAAATTATTATATAGCTATAGTTGAAGACGTGGATGTTAGAATGTTGATAAACGTAATCAAATGTAGTGGAGGAAGGGCTGTGAAAGTGTTTGTGGTGGTTGATGAAGTTGAGGAGGTTAATGGGGGCGGTGAAATTGGAAACGAATTTGTTGGTAATTTATGCAGTCAACCTTAAAAAAAAAAAAAAAAAAAAAAAAAAAAAAAAAAAAAAAAAAAAAAAAATCATCATTTCGCAGATAGGATCAGAGGATTTCGCAGATGGGACCTATTCCATCTGCGAAATTACCCCTATTTATACCGAAAAATATTAAAAAAAAAAAAAAAATTCTCACCTGCGAATGTACAAGTGCCTGAAGCACAACTGTGCTTCAGGCACTTGTACATTCGCAGATGAGATGCCCATTTCGCAGATGGGGCCTTCTCACCTGCGAAATGGGTGGCTATTTTTGTAATCCCGATTTTTTTTGGCTATTTTTGTAATGCAATTAGTGTAATTGGCTATTTTTGTCATTTTCTCAAAAAAAAAAGATAGAATAAGGAGATGGTGTCGTACCAAGACCGACGATGCGCACTCATCAACTAAATAATTAAGAAATTTATGGTTACGTTTGTTTGTAAATAATTTTTTATATTTTTTGGAAAACATAATCCAATTCCAAAAGTTAGAAACCACTTAGGTAACTAAATGGAATCATGGTAACTTTCGTATAAATTTAAAAAAGGCATAAAGTGTAATGCTTACAATAGTAAATATAACGTACCATCATATAAGTTTGAATCTCCGGTATTCTTCATTGATCAATGCCAATTTGCCCATACATATCTTCACTAATCAAATCATTTAGGTTGCGTTTAGTTACGGAAAAATAATTTTCATTTTCCGTTTTTTGTTTTCCCTTTTCAATTTTCATTTTCCGTTTTCAT